ATTTATCAAGCAGAAAAGTAGCCAGAACCTCCCCTACAAAGCATAAGAAAATAGCTTTTTTCCCCTCTTCTATACTAAAAACTAGACGCTTGTAAAGCGTGATGCGGGCTAGCTTAGCAAAAGATTCACAATACAAGATAAAAATTGTATCTCCAATGAATATTGTGACTATGACGTAACTATATATGAAAGTAAAATATGCCGTCAAATACCTTAGTTTTCTTTGCAGTTCAATTCTTATCGTTAACCTTCACTGTCTGCTATAATCTTATCATATATTAACTATCAACCATAATCTTTTTGCTATAGTGATTGTCCTACATTTGCAATGTATTTTGTAAAAATATTTATGGAAGCTCTTTACTTCTTGGTTAGCGATATCACATCTATTATTATTTACATAGCAATGCATTTTAGATGGCATGAGTGCATTCTTTAAATTTTGTTTTTATTAGCCTTTCTTTCGTACAAAAGAAATCTAAAAAWTGAAGCAAAACAAAGYTCAATTTCAAAACTTGTACTTTGTCATTTCTAACTAATAAAAAAAACCGATGATATTAAAGCAATTTCTTTGAATTTGAACAATAAAAAAATTGTCAATTAAACAGAAGAATACCTTTTGCTGTCTATAAATGTGGAAAAAAAGCCAGTATTTGAGCTGATTTCATGTTGAAACTGTACTGAATAATCATCGAGCTGGACTGGCGAGGAAGGCGAGACTATTTTCGATGCAAAATCGTCTTAAAATGATAACTAGCAAGCTTGAAAACTTCACAAATGCAAAATCCTAGTTCAATTCTTCAATGAGAAAGCTTTTGGTATTTCTTGTTGATAGTTTTTGAGTTTTTGAGTTTTTTTCGAAATGGGCTCAAACTTTAGATGTCATGTAAAATACAAACCGCGGTGCACGTGACAAGGCACAAGATCGTGAAATGCAATAATGATATTCAGATATATTTAACTCCTGCATTTATATAACGGCGAAAGTGAATTCAAAGAAGCAGTAAGCCGTAGAAGATGTTCAATTTCACAAGTCAAATACCCAAATCTAGGCATCACTATGTCATACCATGTTGCCATTATTTTGCAAGAACTGTGCTCGCCTTCGCATTCAGAGCCATATATCTGCGCTTTTACTTAACATTTTTTTATAAAATATACAGAGTTACGGTTTACAATTGTTTGAAGTACACGAACTCGGTACTGAAATTAAGAATGAAAGCTATTTTGATGAAAACACAACGGTTTACACTTAGTTTCATGCAACAAAGAAAAATGATCTAGTGTATTTTCTTATATAAACATTGGACGGTTTACAAAAGTAAACCGTTATTTCTCACTGAAAATGAAGTCTATTTGTACTTTTTATGGGCTAAGACGTATTTTCAGTTGTTCCGTATTTATAATGTATAAAAATTTTAATCGTGTTAACACATTTGAGACCTTTTCTAGGCCAAAAAGTAGAGAGTCGTCTGTACGGTTTACATAGCGGAAATGACGTCATTCGTGCTCGCACGAAAGTCCACTGTATTTTATGTGAATATTTGGGCACATGCGGCTTCGTAAGTGTATTGAGTAACTGAGGATTTCTCCAAATTAATATCTCAATTGATTTCTTTCTTGTTTATGCTTGATTAATGAGATTTATCCTATTTTTATAGAAGCYATATCGCTATCCATGGCAATGTCTTGGACAATTTTTTAATGTATTGTTTCTTATTTCTGGARCTTTTTACTGTATCAGCTGCTATATTTTGCTTTAT